CTCGCATGTCAATCAACAAGTCTTGACGCACTCGGGCCAACCGCCCGCTTCGTGAACCTCGCCACTTCTTCTTTTTTGGGGGGGGGGGGTTAATGGCTGGACGCAGGGCCCTTGCTGATGAACATCCGAGCGCACGAGAAGAGAAAAATCAAGCCTCCGTTCCGACTAAAAAGTCTTATTGTGTGCCCTTTGGCGGTCACGTGACCTCTCTCGGCGCGCGTTTGCATGCGTGACGTTTGCATGCGTGCGTGTGTGTGTTTGTGTGTATTTTGCAGGCGTGTGCGGTTTACGCCCCGCTCGCCCTGGCGTGATCGGGTGACACGCGCCTCGCGGCCGGCCGTCTCCGCAGCAACCGGAAACGGGCGACGCGTTGTCGGAGCGGTCGGCCCGCGGGCTCATTTCACGCCGGGTCGCGCGACTCTGTGGTGTTTACATGTGAATCCTGACGTGAATAGGAACATTTCAAACGCAGCGTGTTGCCAATTAAAGGTTGATGTCGAAAAGAAACCAAAAAAAAAGCCGCTCTTTGTGGTTTTGTAGGGGGGGGGGGTCATAAGGGCAAATCAGACAAAACGCACGACGATACAGGACATAGTTATGAAGGATATGATGTTGAAACGTACCCCCACAAAAAAATAAAATGTGCCCCACGCCCCGAAATACAGACATTGAATTGAGCACCCCCCCCCCCCCACCTTGATCAAAAATGAAAGCTGCTCGCTTGACTGCTGCCACAAGTTTATTGCCAACAAATTAGTGATGCCGATTTTTTCCGCGCCCCCATGTTGGCGGTCACAGTAGGCTGCCGCTTCTCATTTGAGGATACGGACCCCCTCCCTGCAGGCGGCGACGGCGGCGGCGGCGCTCCAGGGCCTGCTGCTTCTTCCGCTCGATCTCCTGCGCCGAGCATTTGGCTTGACGCGCAAGCGGCAGCAGTTTGAATGACAAGAAAGCCATTTGTAGAGTGGGGGAGGGGGCGAGGGTTAAAAAAAAAAACAAAAAAAAAAACATCCCTACCATCACCATAGCAACACATCTTTTCATCCTGACTTTTTTTTTATAAATGTGATTTCTTTTGGCACAAAGGTGGAAAAAAAAAAAAAAAGAGGCCTCTTACCTTTGCTCGTCACCATGGAAACAGGATGACGCATCACCATGGAAACGGCACAGTTGGTCACCGAAGAAACCGTCTCGTCGGTCACCGCGGCAACCGCCGCGGAAACGGGCTCGCCGCCAGGCCTCCCCCCTATGGGAAACCGGTCCGGAACGGAGGAGGTCGCCGATTCATCGCCGACGACGCGGCTCTCCAGGTCCTCGCAGAGCCGGCGCAACATCTCGTCGTCGGCCGGGTCGTCCCACGGCGGCTCGCGCGAGAAAAAGGCATCCAAATCGCCGTCCGAGAAATCCGGGCCGGTGCGGAGCTGCTCGTGGGCGGGGCCCGGTGAGGAACGTTGGTTTGTCGCCGGAGAAACGGCGGCGGGTGGTCGGCGAGTGTCTTTTCCCGCTGCTTCGGAGCTCTGAGACGACGGGACGTTTGCAGACGCCGTCTCGGATTTGCCCGGAGGTCCTCTCACGTCCAATTGAGCGACACTCCGAGGCGTGACCGGCGGCGGCGGCGGTGCCACCGCCTGGCAGGAGGTCTTCTGGGTGGAGCTGTGTTTTGGCGCGCAGAAGTTCTCCGGATTTTGCGTCACCTCGGCAAGCAAAGAGTCGTCGAGGAGGTCGTCGTCGTCCCAGTCGTCAAGGCGAAGCGCCGTGGCAAAATCCGTCGCCGCCGCCGTGCCGGCCCGCCCGGCGGGCTCCTCAAACGGGGGGTCCGGGTCAGCCTCGGGGCGCGACGGCGACGGGTCGCAGACGTGCCCGTCCGGCGACCGCCGTACACTCCCGAGGTCGTCGTCGTCCCGGTCGTGGCCGCCAATCCAGTTGAGGTCAAAGCGCTTGGCCAACTTCAGCAGACCGTCGTCGGCGTCGTTCGCGAAGGAATTTGATGGCCTGCCGCGAATCGAATCGCGACAAGTCACAAAAACTCACAATTGACTTTCCCCCCCCAAACGGTTGACGTTCCTATTTCGAGTTGCCCTCCGGAATCTCCGATTGGTCGAGACGTGTGGAGGCGGGGGCTCACCTGGGCGACGCCCTCCTACTTTTGGGCGGCTGAACGTCGGGCGTGCAGGGGATGCCGGCGCTGTCGCCGATCCACCGCTGCAAGGCGGGCTCCGACACTCGGGGCCTGCCGCGCTACGCACGGACGCACGCTGGTGACGTCACAGCCGCGAGCTTCCCGGACGAGGTGCGCGTCACTCACCTCGGGCGCGATCCTGCTGACGATGTCGGAGATGCTGACCGGGCTTGGTGCGCGGCGCTTTGCCCGTTTGCCGCGGGGTCTCCGGGGCGACGTGGCGTCCCAGATGATGTCGGGGTCCGCGTCGGCCTCACGCGGAGACTCGCCGCCCGGCGCTCCGGAAACTCTGCACACGACGGGCCCGGTCGGGGTCTTGAATTCTGCAATGCATGCGACCGGAATTCATCTCCCAAGTCATTTGTTTTTGCGAAAAATCATCTCTTAATGTGTGAAGAGTTTCGTTTATTTTTAGAGGCTCACGCAGATCGATCTCTCCCGATCGATAGATTCGCTTCAAGCGGAACGTCTCCTTTTTTTGACGAGTGACGACGTCAAGGCGCGACCTCGCACCCAACGAACGAATTCGGACGCAAGTGACCTGATTTGGCTGCGTTGGGAGCCTCGGACCGGTCCGAGCAGGTTTGCGCGTGCTGGCTGAGCTTGAAGCTTCTGCTCAGGCGGCGGATCGTCGTCGTCGTCGCTGCTTGCCGGTGGTGTCGTTCGGTCGGCGGAGGCCCTCCCTTCATGGCCGCGGACACGCTAAACCGCGTCGCTTCGGCGGCGAGCCACCGTTGCGCTCTCAACGTTTCTTCAAACATTCCCGTCGAACGTGCTCCGACGTCAAAACTTCATTTGAAAGTCCCGCCATCTTGGCCGGCGGCGGCGGCGGCTGCTTGACGATCCTACGCATGCGCATTCGCACGCGTCTCGTCTTCAAGAGTTCAACACGCCACGATTTTGCGTTTTATTGAACTTTTCAACGATTTATATCACGTTATATTACATTGAAACGTAAAAATATTAGGAGCACTTGTTAATCGTTGTTGGAATTACCATTTCACAACGAATATCTGACGGTGACGTCATAAAATGAGTCCAACTTCCGCATTTCTTCGAAGCGGGATGACGACGCCGTCACGGGACTACACTACCCACAATTCCAGCCACCGTCTATTTCCGGGTAGGCGGTGCCCACAGCCAGATTTGATTCGATTACGCCGTTTTGGCTGCGACAACCAGTTTCGGCACTTCTTTTTTTCTCCCTTTTTCTTCCCCCCCCCACACCCCCTTGCACCTCAAAACGTTCGCGTTCGTCCCTTTCCACCAAACAATCCTGCGCGACAAGCATCCCCGAGCGGCAGTCAAAGATGAATCCCGAATAGTAAGTGTTGCTCTTGGTTGTGTGTCGCCGACAGCTCCTGCGGCCGGCTGAGCTGTCAGTAGCAAAGCTAAAGCTAAAGCTAACATCAGCTGCTTTGTTAGCCTGCCCGGAGCAGTGTCGATATGGTTATTTATTTGTTTGTTTGTTTGTTTGTTTTTTCCCTGTGATGTTCGTTTTTAATGTATCGTCCAGGGGGTGTGCCAACCGTGTTGTCGCGTCTTTGGCATTGATTGTGTCGACTTGGTTGATTTCCTTGCCGGCTAGCGGGCTAACCGGACGGCTAGGTAGTCTTAGCCGAGGGTCACAATTTTAACGAGTCCCAAAAAAAAAAACAAAAAACAAAAAAAAAAAAAAAAAGAACCCAATGACGCTTTATGTCGCTGCGTGGATGCTCAACGGCAAGGAAAAAAAAAAAAAAAAAAAAAAAGGCGACCGAACGGTCTTTTAAAATGCGACGCGATGAGTCACGAGTTGCCAACAGGAAATTGCCACATCCGCGAAGCCGAAGTCGCGTCGAGCGCTCACAGTCGTGTTGTTGTTGACGATTACGTAACTCGCGAAGTGACGTCACCACTCCCCACTTGCGATGAGAGACTTGCGATTTCATTTCTTTTTGGGAGTAAAAAAATAAAAAAAATAAAATAAAGAAATGCGTACATATGTTGACATCAAGGCAAAAGAAAAAAAATCTGTTTATGTTTGAATGAACGAGCCAAAATGGCGTCGGCCCTTGGTGAGAATTGATGGCTTTGGCAAAATTAGGAAGGGGGGGAAAAAAAAAAAAAACAATGACACAGTATATGTATTTATCACTGTGTGTGTGTGTGTGTGTGTGTATAGTGACTATTTATTCAAACTGCTGCTGATTGGAGATTCTGGCGTTGGAAAGTCTTGTCTGCTGCTTCGCTTTGCAGTAAGTTTTTCCCTCGTCCGTTCGCTACTTCTGTCACCGTGACCGCCGCTCGCCGACGCTTTTGCGCGTGTGCGAACGCGTCCCAGGACGACACGTACACGGAGAGTTACATCAGCACCATCGGCGTGGACTTCAAGATCCGGACCATCGAGCTGGACGGGAAGACCATCAAACTGCAAATTGTGAGAAGACGAGCGAGCGTTGGCTCTCGGCCGCCGCGCCCGGCCATTTGACCTTTGACACCTTGTTGTTGTTGTGTCGCGGTGGCAGTGGGACACGGCCGGCCAGGAGCGCTTCCGCACCATCACGTCCAGCTACTACAGAGGCGCGCACGGCATCATCGTGGTGTACGACGTCACCGATCAGGTCAGCGGGGGGGGGAAACGTACTCTTTGCGGCGCTCTCCCCGGCCAGAGATCTGTACTGCTGGATAGGACACGCCCCCTTTTTGGGCTGCGCGCTCGCGCCCCTTTTTCATCCATCGAGATGCGCTGCGTTCAATCTCCAAGCCGCTCACACAAGTGCCACGTTGTTC